CCCCCCCCCCCCCCCCCCGCTGTGACGCCTTGCCCCTCCCTCTTCTCTTACCGCCGGTTCATCCGGAGTGGTCGACTGCAGTCCCTGGGCGAGGGCGTGCATCAGGGGCGAGAGCAGACCCATCAGCAGCACAGAACCGCGGGCAGGGTCTACGGCGGGAAGCACTCGCACGGAAGCCTCGATCAAAGTCAGCCGCTCCTCGATGCCCGCGCCCGCCCGTGTTGCCACCTCCAAAGTCTTTCGCGAAGCAGGCGAGCGGCGCCGGGGGGACGGGGGGGTCAGGTTGTGGAGGGATGCGCGAAGGACGACAGAACGACAGAAGGACAGAAATAGCAGCGCCGAGGCACAGCCAAATCAAACAGCAGTCAGTCAACCCTTCGCAGCAAAGAAAAATAAAGAAGGTAACGCAGTTCACCATGTTAGCAGGCACGACAACGGCAAACCCCTACCATTGATGCCATTCAAACGATCTCCACACAAGAAGCCGGTGCAAGAACAAAAACAGCCACACACACACGGCACACACCTGCAGCAGCGCTTCCAATGCTGCCGGGTTGTTCACGATGGCCCTCTCGCAGCTCGCAGCGACGGTGCGCACAGAGATCGCCGCCCTACCCCTCGCCTCGGCCTGCTGCAGCCCCACCGTCAAGTACCCCAGGGCGCGCGGCAGCAGCGACGGATCGCTGCTCCCGCCCAGCCCCCCGGCGCCCCCCGTCGGAGTCGCGGTCGCCGCTGCCGCTGCCGCCGCCGCCGGCGTGGCGGCTACTGCCCCCGTCGCCGCCGACCCCGCTCCGTCCCCTCTTCCGCCGACGGTGGCGGCGGCGCTGCCACCGACCGACCCGAAGCGCGGCCGGCCGTACCGCCCTCCGCCGACGAGGGTCGCGAAGGAGCCGACGAGCTTGCAGCCGGCGGCGAGCACCAGCGGGACCGAGGACAGCGACGCGTTCACCAGGAGCTCGTTGATAAGGGCCGACACCAGCGCGTGCGTGCGCCCGGCGTCCTCGGCACACTCCTGGTCCTTGCTCCGCGCGTGCGCGTCCATCCAGTCCCGGATCTCCTTCGACACAAGCGTGACCGCCAGGAGGGTTACCTGTTTAGACGGACGGGGACCAATGTTAGGACGGGTCGTATATAACGCGATTGTGTATCAGTGTTGCGCGACAACGGGTAGGAGCGGCAATCGAGGAGGCCGTTCGGTGGCGGCAGCGGCGGCGGCGGCGGCGATGGCGGAGGGGAGGAGGAGGCGGAACAAACTGAAGTTACCAGGGGGGCTAGATTTCAAAGTGAAGAATTTTGTGGAGACTTGTTGGGGAGAACAAACATATATACATAAAAACGCCGTGAAACGATGCAACCGCTGTTACTGTTCGGCTACAAACACAAAGAGCGGTGGTGTACCGAACGGTCACCAGACGTCAAACCATGGTAGAGCCATGATCGATTGCCTCTAACATTGGTCGGGGAGTTCACATCAAAACACGTTTCTTCAGCATTGAAGATGCACTTTTCTCCCCAGCGCCTCACCTCAAGCGCTTGCCACGACTCTGGCCGAGCCTTGAGCCTCTCCATCACGTGCGACAGGTAGTCCGCCCGCAGAATGTAATAGATCACCATCAACACATCCTTCACGCCCTGAGTTTTTCACAGCAGCAGTTGAAGCGGAATGGAAGGGGATGAGTCCGACAGGCGCACCAAAGAGAGCGGGGAACCGGAGCAACTCCGAGCGCACGCGTGGGGTGGGCAGAGAGATAGATAGGTCACGCGAGACGATTCGCACACGAAAAAAACTCCTATTAATTCGTGAAAAATACGAAATTGCGGCTGAGAAAGAACCTCGCAGTCGCCCCGTCCCGTACACAAACAAGAGGATTGATTTCAACGCATGCATGCACTGCGGGGGAAACATTATCCGGTTAGAGAAAAATCCGTATTCAAGTATGCATAAACTCCAGCTGGACACCACACACTTGCTACAAAACAAGATTCGACATTGCTGCCATAGGAACTTGAAACAAACTCGCTTCGCTCCGGGTACTACAACTATCACAAGGACAACGAACAACGAACTAGACCGCCCGGTCGCAGATAGCGTGGCGCCGGTGACACAACCCACATGACGGACAGGAAAACATGCAAAACACACGCGACGCAACAAACAAAGAAGCCGAACCTGCTGCTGTAGCTGCACACAACAATTATTACCTGCGCCCCCTCTCTCAGCTCCGTGATTGCGTCCTCGTCGAAATTGTCCCCGGTGTAGGTGCTCCAAGACACGAACCCCGCCGGCAGCTCGCACTTGGCGAGTAGGACGTTCAGCAGTCGCACGTATACCGGTCGGCCTAGGGAGGGGTGTCTCTCGGAGAACGGCACGTCCTGTGATTGGCGTCGCCGTTTAGGGGGACGGGGGGATTGGGTAAGGGTTGCACATTCAAACGTGGTGATTGTGCTCGTAAGGAGGGTCGGGCGGCGGCAGGAGCTAGGAGGCATTCTTACAGCCGCTATCATACGCCAGAATGAAAAACAATACCACCAAATAGATTGTGAGAGACACGGTGGCGAGAGGCAAACATGAAGGTGTCAAGGCGAGGCTTATCCTCGCATGATGACATGGCCACAACTGGGGCGGATTCCACACAGAGCGTCAACGGTCCGTGAGAGGTCGCGCCCGTGTTTAGCATGGCGTCGGTGTGTGCCAGGAACGGTATATTTAGGCTGTACCGTCTTACGCGCCGTTGTCTGAAGTAGCAATCGAGTCTCGGGGCAAGGGGGGATCGGGGGGGTGTACTCATGTAAACGCATGCCGTAGTCGTGAGAGACCATAGGCCTCGCATCCCTACCATGCCGGGATGGGGCGATATGCCGGGTTTTCGCCGGCCCAGGCCACGTTTCACAGGGACAGGGGTGAACTAGAAGGGGCACCGGGTCATCCCAGTCTGCATCCACCCGATTCAACGAATCCAATCAATCCAATCCAATCCAATCAAAGGATCAAACCCGCAACAGACCAATCCAACCGACCCCTTTCCACCCACTTGCAACTCCAGCCAGAAATCCAGGGTAAGGACGGGTATTCTCGGCAGGTCGCACGCCGTCAGGCTCAGCAGCAGCTCCACCAGCGGCAGGCCTTTGCCCTCCTGCCCCGCGACAAGAGGCATCTCCTCCTGGGCGAACGAAACCACCGTGTTGCAAAGCGTCGACGCCGATTCCTCATCCTTCGTCTGGTGGGTGACGAGGAGGAAGGGGATCCGCGCGGGGGTAGGTGGGGTTAGGAGATGTACGCCGTAGAAATTGGACTCGATGCGTCACGTATGGTCAATGCTGATCTGGCCAAAATCTTCTGTAACAAATGTCACAAGCACGCCGTCGCTCCCTGAATACCATCAATTTCGGATGACATCCACCCTACCATGATACCTGGCAATACGCGCGCGCCAAGGGCAGCAGGGCGCAGCAAACACAGCCAAGGTTTGGGAGCACACAGGCATAGAAGATGGGCGACGTGGGTCCGCGCCCAATCCCACACCCGATACGCAGTAGGCAACTCAACCCGTCTACGCGAGCACATTCACACACAAGCATCAGGTAGCGCGGTTGATGCCAAAAACACAAACACACACACACACCTGTATGGCGGCTGCAAAAAGCGCGGGCATCTTCCCCATCGCGCCTAGCAGCGCCTCCGACACGCCCTGTGCCGGCGACCGCGGGTACTCCTTCACCGCCAGCAGCTCCGACATCACCTCGCAGGCCGCGCACGCGGTGGGGAGTGCCGCCGCCCCCCCCCCTCCCCCTCCCCCGCCGGGACTCCCCTCCCCGCCGAGCAGCCTCACGACCCGGTCCAACAACAGGGGTCTGTCCGTCGCAAGCCTGCCCAGGGAGACGCCCAGCTTCGTCCACTCCCTCAAGCAGTCCAGCGCGGCCAGCACAACGTCTTCGGTGGTCCCGCCGCCCGCCTCCGCCTCCCCAAGACCACCACCCCCAGATCCTCCCGGTGCCCCGGCCCCGTTCTGATCTGGACCTGCCGCGGCGGCCGCCGCCGCCGCCGCCGCCGCCGGCTCCGCCACGCTTCCCGCTAGCACGGACTCGAGACCGTGCAGGACCGTCGAGCTGTGCTCCCGGACTTGGTCCTGCAGCTCGAGCCGCCGGGCGCGGGAAAGGTCGGCCCCGTCCACCTCCTGGGGCAAGACCTTGATCATCTGAAGCGACAGCGCCACCGTCGCGGGGTGTGCGCCCACGCCCGCCCCCGCGGCGGGCCCAGAGGCAGACTGCGTTTTCGAATGGTCGGTTTTATACAAGAACAGGCATCGACCAGCGAGGGTGTGCAGGAGCGGGAGTTATGCTGGTGGGGACGGACGTATTGGGGGAGATCTGGTGTCTACAGCGACGCAAACCTTCTGGACACGCGGAAGCACACCGATTCATGGTCTAGCCGCCGGCGCGCACCCACCACCCACCACGTGCTTCATTAGCTTTTGTTTTTGTTATCGTACTACTGCTGTGGTGCTTCATGTGCTTGGCACAGAAACAATTCGTTCGGAACTTGATCGAGCACCCCCACACTTCAGGGACTCAGACGACGCCCCGTAGTCATTATTACACAAACTAACACACCATTGCGCTGCACACAGTATTTTTTGGCGAGATCTTTTTTCATCTCGTGGCGCTCTGCTTCGTCGCAACAAGCGCGTGGATCTCTCACACGGAGCACCTCACTACCACTTCTGCACCTGCCACCGAAGACATACATCCTTCCGAACGAACAAAAAGGAATACATAGTCAACACGGAACACGACGGATATGTTCACATACATACCTGGCTCAAAGCGAATGCTTCTCGCACGTACGCCTCAACCCCGTTTGCCGCTCGAACGGCCACGGCTGCCAGCGCCAAGCACAGCCGGCTGATCACCACCGGGGAGAACGGCAGCGGGTGCGGCACCGCGGAGCCATGGACCGGTGATGGCGAGACCGGAGGGGTTCTCCGCAACAGCTGCACAGACGATTCGAAAAGTGGAAGAAAACCATGAGGGGGGGGGGGGGTTGGCACGTGTTGCACGCGCGACACTACGGCCCCCCAGGGTGCTATTGGCCATTGCCGGCAGCGTGAAAGACGGGGTTGGCAGACGGGCGGTAGTTGATTTGTCCCATGCGAAATAGCCGATGGAAGGGTGCGAGTTTCAACACTCCAGACTAGCCTTGGTTTGCTTGGTAGGGCCACGGAAAAATCGCACCGCCAACCCCGGAAAATTAAGGACTTTCCAAAAAAATATGTAAGGGAACGCAGCAAAATAAAACTTGGCAACCTACTTTGCGTCCTACGCCGACAAAAACACTACGAAGCGACCGGACCTATAGTAGAAAACACAGAGAAGCATACTGTACTATTATCACTAACTACGGCAGTACCTGGAGGATGACGGTGCCTAGTTGGTCTCGATGCTCCGCCTCCAGCTGGTGCCAGTGCTTGCGGACCTTGGTGTAGAGAGTGTTGGCCGCAAAGTAGTGCAGAGCGGAGGCCGACTCCGGCGCTACCGAAGCAGACGACAGGAGCTCCACGCTTATCGACCACGCCGCCTTCCATTTTGTTCGCATGACAACAGGAGGGGAGGAGGCACACGACGCAGCACCAGAAGCAGCGCAACAGCAAGCAGGTGGTGGCCACGGTTTATGGCACAGCAGCAGCAGACCATATATCCCTCGCCGTGTGGACCGCAGTACAGCATGTGGCACGCGGGCTGATCCACAACAATCGGAATAGTTGTGTCAAAATAACTTATTGTGTGTCACGCACGTACTTCAGACGGGGTGGGAGAGGGGTGCGCCTATCCTGTGATGGAGCTCATGTAGATACTAGCTGGCACATGGGGATTGATCGTATCGCGCACGGACACATGGGCAGGCCCATTCCATCACACGACGGAAGCAGTCTACTGCGGTACCGAACATCAGACAACAGCGGCTCTCAGCACGGCGATTGTAAAACAGCAATGCCGGCTGAACAGCAGTGTGACGCGTGACGGTGCTGCTAGAGTTGCGGGCGAAATTGCCTGGCACCGATGGAATGCCCACGCAGCTCCATGTTCTCTCTGGATTGTGCCAAGTGGCTTGGAGTCGTGTGCCCGTTTGCTGCAAAAATGCAACATGGTTTACCAAGGGGCATGGAGCACTACAGCAGTAGCTCCTATGGCTTTGACGAGATCGGCCGGTCGTCCCGCGTCAGCAGTGTTGCTTTGTTGCAGGTGAACAAGCCACAACCATGACTTCCCTATGCGGAGGGTGTCTACTGCCCATCGCCCAGTTCTGGTACCGCCCCTCCGCTACCCGTCGGCTGTACAAACCATCTACTTAGTTTTACCTCGAGCTAAATCTGCGTGCTCGAGGGGCGCCACGCTGCTGGTTCAGCAGCAAGGGGGGGGGACGGCAAATTTGTGTGCCGATTTCCGAGATTGTTTGTGATTTTGTCAACCAACCGGCGACTGCTTCTAGGCTTTATGGTCGTTCCCACTTGCCAAGCCTGTGTCGACCCACCAGAGTCAGGGTGAGAGTGTGAGCCAATTATTATGCTGCCGCACAATCGTATGTTTGGTGCGGTATCGTGTGGTTGCTCTGATGAAGGGATGAAGGCAGAAGAGAAGGAAGGGACGGGTGGGGGCTGGCTTTCGTTGTGTAGCTTGCCCGGCAGTGGCAAAGCACTGCCCGCTCCATCAATACCCCCGTGCGCACAAGCCAACATCCTAACTGCTGGCAAGTTGCAGGGTTCAGACGGCAGCACGCGGCGAAAGCGAGCAGCACAGCGTCCGGTCCAAGTGCACAACGAGCTAAATAGGCTCTTGCTGCTTATGAAAAAAAAACAGAGAGGAAATCAGAGCGGAGACCGCCAGATCTGAAACGTTTACCGGTTGCTCAGTGAAGTCCATCAGGAAGGTGTTTGCCCGGGCAGACTCCGCAGCATTGGATCCATACAGTGCCGCAATGGCCGCTTGGACTTGCATCGTCTCGTCTGTAGTGCCCATGGCAAGCTCGTCCAAAACGGCTCAATGATGCCCTCGGCCGTGAGGCGGCGGCTAAAGGTGGGGGGCCAACGCTGTGGAACCCTGCTATCGATGAAGGGGGGTGGGGGGGTTCTCTGTGATCATGCTGTCAGTGCACCATCCACGAGGCAGGAGGGTCGCTCTACTGTGCTTTGCTGCACGGTGTCGTTGTGGAGAGAGAGAGGCAACGAAACAAAATGAATGCACTTGGAGCTTAGGCGGATATGTGGAATGTTGCCGGTGCCTGTGCTCGCTTACCCCAATGTCACGCTCTCTGTATATATTCCAAGATAATGAATTCCGCAATTATGCGCTGTATGATTTGGCGCTGGATCCTTAATATTGTTCCTGTCACAAAATCTACCCGACGCTCTCTGTACACCAAACTAGGCTGCTAGGATGCGTGTACGGGAGATACGCGATGTGTTGAACACCTGGCATGTGTCGTTTGCTCCGCCTGCAGTATAAACCAATTGTTGTGTTGAAGTTTCATGATATATCTTCGAGTCTACGCAAGATCGATACGCATAGGAACGGGGTCGTAACTTGTGTGTTTGTGATGACGTTTACGTGTCGGGTGTAAATGTTGTGTTGTGCAATGCTGACCGGAGCCACGTTCATTCTTCCCCTGATTCATATATCTCTTTGCGAAGCGAGATAAGAACACAACCGTAAAAAATATAAACCAGCGAGCGACACTGCTCTGTGGACGACATCGTAAAAACTGTATCGGGGGGATGCTATTTTTCTCTTCCTTTTTCTGCGGGTGGCACAAGTTGGGTGGTACACAGCGACGCTGCCATGCGTGAAGCTTGAAGTCCACGCTCTTCGCAACGTTGGGTATAGTTTGGGAGGAATTTTCTTCGCATATTGCGTGTAGCAAAAGCAAGGCTGACGTGCACACGGGTCTTCTCGGAAGGAAATGGATGCAAGAGGATCGCGTGTGCGTTGTGGTGCAACGTGAGAGATCTGCCACTTACAAATTGTTGGTGTTAAAAATAATGTCACCAATCACATGCTGCTTGTAGCAAGTGCGAGGCAGGGGGTGATTGCTTGAGTGCCTGTTCTGCAGATGATAGATACAGATGGTTGTGCGCGGTTCGACCGGATTGATGACGGGAAACAAAAGCTAACATTGCCACCGTCGCGGGCGGGAAATAAGGGAAGATGCGCCCCCAACGTACCCATGCACCAATGAACCATCGTTCAGAAATCGCCATACGGCACATGACAATTGATATCTATCGTGCAATCGGTAAACCAATGAAGGCGGTAATACGGTGGGAGAGAGCGACAGGATGTGCTGTATTCGCGGTTGATATCAGTTTACGAAAGGAGGGCTTGATTGGCTGACTGTCAGTCGCTGTGACTCTTGGGCGTTCAGATGGAGGGCGCAGCGACATGCTCTGCCTCCATGCCCTTTGAATACTTCTCCACATTGTGGGCCGGCCTCTGCAACTTTGTCGATTAAACATCAAGGTCGAGATCGATCACGCCACCACAAATATTTGCTCAAAGTGACCACCTGCACACCATCGTGCATGAGCCAAGCATTGATAACATCACCAACATATCGCGCGAGACGATGAAAGAAAAAGTCAGTCCAGGTTGATGTGCAAAGTTTGACATCACTTAAATGGGCCTAGGCTCCCACCCTTCCATCTAGCTAGCCAGTATTTAGTTCTCCAACACGACGAACTCACGGAGATGGCTGTCGCGTCGATGCCAACAGACTACAGCCTAACAAGAGAAGCGCACCCCCACCGGGCATAATACTTCCGCCGAAATCAAAGCACAGCATCGCCGAACCCAAACAGAAACGCGACAACACGTGCTTTGCTACTGTTGCTACCGGTGTATTCCGACGGCGGAGTAATCCCGGCCACATCGCGCATACAAGGAGCTCTCCATTCCCTGCGCACCAAAGATGTGTGCATCTTCACCGTTCAAGGTAGGAGCAACTGTGGGGCCAATGGTTGCTGGTTTACATCGAGCGAAACTTTCTCACTGTGTCTCGTATTCGGGCGAAAGTTGAATGTTGTGACAAGCCACAAGAAGCACGGGATGGCACCAACACACCTCGAAGCTCACACGCGTCCAACCTTCCCACAGATGCTAACCGTTAAATCGTGAGCCTCCGACGAAGGACAAAGGTAACAGGTGCTATAGAAGCAGAGGAAGCAGTAGCAGAAGCAGCAGCAGAAGCAGCAGCAGCCCACCAGCTCAAATCTTGAAAATAAGGAGGGGTGAGGGTTCCGAACCATTGTTCAAGATTTCACACCAGCGACAGGTGGACCAGAAACAGATCTGCAGAGATGAAAATAATTACATAAACCGATTCGGACTTTGTCGTCAACCACCCTGGGCCATTGTTGCTGCTATTGTATTCCATCCACCCTTCATATTCTGTTTCGTCGATCTCCCCGCCAAACAACAGAACGCAGCGCATCGTATAAAAAAAACGAGCGAAGACTCAAAGGTTCTGTTCCTTGTACCAAGGTGGCTCGTGTTAATACGGCAGGAAATGCAGACAACAATGGTACGCACAGACTCTTCAAGTTCTGCTACGGGAGCCCTATACATGCAAAGGCGCGGAGCCTTTCCATCTGTGCAGTCGAGAGCTGGAGTGCACATGGTTCAAGTGTCTCTACGTCATTGCACAGTTTCAAACACCATCAGAGGGCATGCTTGTGCCCCGAAACACCCCCAAAAATCAACCTCGAGGGATCAAACCGTTCGCCCTCTCTGAACACCGCCCCCATCCCATGGTAGTGATTTGAACGAAATAGTTGTTTTGTCCGCTTAAGCCACTACCACTTCTGTTGAACGTGCCAAGTCTACACAATGACAGTCAACGGCCGTCAAACACCTCGCTGGTTGGATGAAAATTCTTGATCGGGCGACGAAAGCGGATGGATACTTGTGTGACGGCCAAAACAGTAGCAGATCAGATCGAAGACAAGAGGCAAACCTTGTGTACTCACAATTAGCTAGGCTAACCGACTACATAAAGTTGAGTGGCCAAGGGCGCGACGACGCCGTATCCCAATATCTCTTGGTGGGAAGGATCATTGGTGTTACTGTCGGTCGCGCGGAGTAGCTGTTGCTTTTCAAAACACAACCTCATTCCAACGTATACACCACCCTTTTTCTGCCGCCAAACCAAACCAAGGTACACATCGACACATCTCACCATACGGTACGCCCCCCCACGTGGAAGGCTTTGGTTTTCTACGGGGTACATAAACCACCTTTCTCTTCGGATCGAATGCGTCGTCAACTCTTTGGCAAGTGTCAACATCAAGTTGCCCGCCCACCAGACACCATCACTGCACGTACCCGCCCACACCACCGCCAAGCGGGAGCAGCCAGCCAGCCCGTCCCGCCGTCACGCCTTCCACCCCTTTCGTAACGGCTGCGAGTCGTCATCTCTTCGATCTAATTTCCTCTAGTTGTTTCTTGATGGCGGCGTTTTGTTCATGGGTCTTTGACCTCGTTGGTGTCTCTCCCGGCTCCGGCAGCACGCCCGCTTCCGTCAGGTTCACCTGCGCTCGTTCCTGCGCCCACTGCATGAGGTAGTGCCCCCCTATCACCGGGATCGAGAAGTACACGATGTTCATGGCGATGCGGCCGGGCCGTGACAGGGGCATCCGGAAGTTGTGGATTCGCTCCTTGAGCCGCTGGTGTCCCGAGCTGAAGTCATCCATGATTCCCATGCTCTATGATGCTCGCTTGTATCGGTTCCAGCCGGCCGTCGGTAGCAGCAGTAATGTAGCAGTAGTAGTGGAAACCAACTAAGACCAACAGATCGACGTTTAGAGAGTCGAGGTAGATGGAGCAAACAACGTTGGCGGTTCTATCCGTGGTAGGGTGCATAAAAGAGAGTGAGTAGCAGGGGAGTGGGTTGTTGCGTGTGTGGCAGGCCGTGTCCCGTCGCAGGTTGCAGTTGTCTGGTACTGACTCCTGTCTCTGCTCTGCTGGCCGGGGGGCACCGTGTTGCAACGGGACTGTCGTCCAGCATTGTCGCGCGGACCTCCTCTGCGAGTATGGTAAACGGACTGACTGCCCGTTGTTTGATGCGTCACGGGCAGGCGCACTACAATCGCACCCTCGCACTTCTCATTGAATGCGAAGCACTACGACACCACCCGTTGGCGAAACGATCCTTGCACCGTCGTTTTCCTTTTGCGGCATCCATCATGAGATGTCGGGGCGCAGGGCTATTAGTCCTGTTGTGCCCGGAGCTGTTCTTGCATACGCATGACCAACGGACTGATGTTGCTGCCCTTCAATTCCCCTTGTCGATATCGACTCGCTTGAGGGCTAATCGTATCGTTGGGAGACGAACCCCTTCTCCTGCAGCAGGATCAGCAGCAGAAGCAGCAGCCTCACCTTCGGGTCCTCGCGGCGGCCGCTCCAAGAGCAGCGCTTCTTCCCCCTCTGCAGACCGAGTCCGACTGCTGAGGGATTCGAGAATCCTGTTGATTCCTCCCGTCGGAGCGAGAGCCGTCGTGGACGTCGTGGAGAGCGGGCTTGCTGACGCTATCGTCCAGAGCAGCAGCAGCGGCGCCAGCGCCAGCGCCAGCGCCGGCGCCGGCGCCAGCGCAAGCAGTGCGATGCTCAGCGGCCAAGGCATGCAGCACAGCGTGCTGGAGTCGGTCCGGCTGGTGCTTGGTTACGGTTGGGTGTTGCTGCAGTCGTTGGCGCCCTCGCCGTTTGAGCTGCAGATATTCCTTCGGCTGGTCGTGGCGGCGATGGTGGGAATGTTTATCGGGACGGAGCGTCGAACATCTCACCGACCTGCTGGAGTTCGCACCATGTGAGAGAAGAAGGGCAGGAGGAGAGGGAGAGCAATATTCGGTGTTAGTCTCCTCGGTTGGAGGTTGAGTGAAGGTGACCGCTAGTTGAAGTATCACCTCGACCGGTACCGCACATTGGCTCTGCTGCTGCCACCGCACCTTGCGCCAACGAAGCCGCCCCTGCTATGCATACAGATACTACGTGGCAAACATGCTTCGCCTGATGCCCCGGGCAGGCCGGTAAGGCAGTGAGTGCCATACGCTGGCAGTTCGGTGCACCATCCGTTGTACGCTCTTGCAGAAATATGCATATTCATAAACGTCAAAGAAAGACTACCCGCTCGAGACACTGGCACTGGCAAGTGAAGAATCTCAGTCTCATGCGTACCTGCACAAAAGTACGTTGGTGGTTTGAGAAGCAAGGGCGGTGGTGGCGTGGTGGCTGTCTTGCAATCAAGGTGAAACTGGCGGTTGTAAGCAACGAGATGGGCCGTCGCCAGTCGCTTCTGGCCAACCACGAAGGCGAACGCACGCAGCTCAAAAGTGATTGATATATGTACAAGACGTGCAAACGCGCAAAAATATCGTTCTGCACTAAACACGTGGTTTAACTATCTGCCGCTGCTGATTTTTGTATGCAGACGTGAACTGCACTCCTTATTGGGTGGGGGCTGCATGTCTCTTTTGATTAGAGCCATAGAGCGTAGCCATGCATTTCTGAGTATCACAATGTTGGAGCCCATCCCAGGTTGGGTTTGGCAGGGCGTATTTGCAGGATATACAAGGCACACTCAGGTGTGAAGACGCGACGAAGAGAATTCAGAATCAATCGATACGTTGTCAGAATGCCATCGACGAGACGCTTCCAACGCCACCATTATCGGCACTTACGCATATTTTGCTGCGGCAAGGAAATTGGGCCTTGAAATGCGGTCCTGGGGGTGTGGTATCTTGTGCAACGCACGCTAATCGAGCATTTAATACTCCGTGTTTGTTCCCCTTCTGCTTGTTGTTGTGCATGGAAGGTCTTTGGTCGCTCTGGGCGCCTGTACCTTCACTCTGGTATCGCAGTTAGGTTTCGTCGGGAAGGCCGACCAGGCACGCGTGGCGGCCAGCGTGGCGTCGGGGGTCGGCTTCATCGGAGCCGGGGTGAGTAAGGGTGCTCCATGTGTAAGTGTGTGCTTCTTAAACTGCCATCGGGCATCGACCGCTCTAATCGGCTGACCAATGAAAATCGCTACAGTCACACACGGTGTGTGCGCACGTGCGTGTGTTTTTTTTAAAGTAGCGTTGACCCCGCATACCGGCTGGCTGACCAATGGACGACGCCAGGTTTGGAGCGGGACAACTTTAGTCAGCGGGCTCCGACAGTTGGGGGCGCGGAGGAGATCGGAAGACAGGGTCCATCAGTCTTTGCAGAGCTTCGCGTGTGTTGTCATCTCATATTCTGGACGTCCATATTGTACCTTTTGAGTGTATGCTTTTTTGGGCGGACCAACCAAGGTCACGCAGAACGGAACCACCACAGGATTTTTTTTTCCCCTCCGCCTTCCTTCTGCAGTGGTCGCCTTGCTTTCTGTCTCGATGAATGTTCAGTGGTTGCTTGTCCTCGTGGATGGTGTATTCGGATATCTGTGCATACCATTCAATCGTTATCCACATTTAGTCGGGTTTGGCTAAAAACGTCAAAACAGGTCGCCTTACACACAGTACCGGCAGCACCGACCGAGTAGACGGCACGGTATTCACGCGGTTGACATTCTACGCTTACCCCCATGGCAACAGCAGAAGACGAGTGTGTACATCTCTCGTTTGCCAGTGAACATCCGCGCTCTTTTGACTTTTTTTTTGGCCGCGAGGTGCTCCTTCCGTCTTCGTCTTCGACGCCCTTCATTGACACCGGGGAATGTCAGTAGTCACAGCCGTGTCGCAGTTGCGTTTTTCGCTCGGCGAAACCCGCTTCTTCCCGGTGGCAGTGACAAAAGCCAAGTGTCGACATCCGCGGCATTTTATTTGACGAAAAAATGAACCACCAAGTTTTTGATCAGGCTAACGCAGTCTTACTATCTGTGCACGGGCGGTTGACGGACAAGGGCATTCCCCTGGTCTACTCGAGCTCGCTCGTTGTGCACACGCCGCGAGCTAATCACCGGAACACCCTGATGATGACGAACAGAACACTTGACAATCTCTAAAATTCAACCAACAGGTAATCACGACATCAGGAAAGGAGGCCAGCAGCATGCGAGAGAGCCTGAACACCCGCGGGAGAGGCGGCAGCAACTTTCCCGGGACCACGGTATCAATGAATGACGTCGACGGCGAGGTGAAGGGCCTCACCACCGCCAGCGCCATCTGGATTACCGCGGGACTGGGGATGGCGTGTGGGGCGGGGCTTCTTTTCATCGCCATGCTCGGGGCTGGTTTGACGGTCGGCATCCTCAAGATCTCCGAAGTGACCACGTCCGTCCAGAAGAAGGTGTGATGTGACACCTAAACAAGCGGTTGTTTTTTTTTGCCCACCCGTTGAACAGTCAAGAGCCTGGTCCGGTGAGAACCCGGCGTGCTCCGTCCCGACTTTGTAGGGATGCGAGATCAATGGTCTAACGACGACGGCATGCACGACCATGAGTACCCCCCCCCCCCCCCCGTCCAACAGCCGAGAGAGCCCTTGTTCCCTTTCCAAAGGGACGGGTGGTCAATGGTCAAATGATTAAGGCAAGCAACAAATGGGTACGCCCCCCCCCCCCCGTCGAACAGCCGAGAGAGCCCTTGGATTCGTTTTTTCAGCGCCGCCGTTCAAGTACGTTGTTGCCGTCGCCCTTGCGTCAATAAACCGAAACACGTTCCGATCTGTACCCGGCACCCCCGCAACACCGGCAGTGACATGTAGGTCACAAGGCTGACAAGAACGAAGTGTTGTTGAGATGAAACGGCACCATTAAGGTAGGTTCTCTCAACTCGCTGGGGGGAAGTGGCCCCTAAATTTTTTATTCCATCCATTCAGACGTCAATCAAGCGAGGGGAATCAGGTCCGAGAGGAGGGTAGAACCCACCGCTGTGACTGGGAGCCCGACTATTTTTGAAGAAAAGCTACGGGTATGCATACAGCACCACTCCATTTGCAAAGGGACTCCTCGCACACCTGCAATGTCTGGGTATGCATACAGCACCACTCCATTTGCAAAGGGACTCCTCGCACACCTGCAATGTCTGGTTGATTGTTGTGTTTTTCGACCACCTGCTGTCCATATCGAGCCGAAGTATTAGAGGGGATGGACAGGTGTGGTTTGAAAGAGCAGCAGCGCACGTAGTCTGTAGCGTCAAGATTAAGGCAATTTCTAGGTGAATGTTGCGGAAAATGTTCGTGGTTAGTGGTAAGTGTTTACCTGTGCTTTGGAGGCCAAGCAAAACATTGGTCCAGGCTAACCCAAACCGTTAGCCAAACGGATTTTAATCAGCTCAAACTGGTGCCCGATACGCCTGATCTCCCCCAAGGTTGTACCGACGCTTCGGGCGCTTGGAGTCGCTATAAACGTTGGAGACGTGTTAAGCCGAAAATACTCGCCTTGGGTTCTGCAAACGTCCATCATGTTGTTTAATGGAAAATATCATGTTCAAGCCGAGCGTAGATGGCGTTTAATTCAGGTCCTTAGGGCGTATCCGAGGTTACACCTCCGATGATGGTGTCTGACTTAACTGGTCTCTTCCTATTGCGAGTGGGTTGCCTGTGTGATGATGCTTTATGAAAGACAAGCATTCGCGGCGTGAGCTGTTTTTTGTTGTTGATTGAAGGCGGTCCAGCAAGTACTCCGTGTTCAAAGTGAAAACGAAAACCGGAGAAAGCTGTTTCGAAAGTTCCTACGCCGTGCGAGACGCTTGCATCTCTTCATTGAAGCACCCTACATCCAATCCACTTGCGCCCGAAACAAACCAATAACTGAGCGCAGACAACGGTATCGAACGCCTGGCCTCGGCTTTTGCGTTGACCAGGAGTGAGAGGTTTGTACCGTTGTCGTCTGCTCTCGGCTTGGGGTATTTGTTGGCCGTTGGGAGAGATGAAGAGCGACGTGTTGGCTCTCTCCGTTCGCATGAAAACGGTGGTGACAAAGGTTCCTATTTTTGTGTACGCTCGCCACTGAATCGTCAAGGCTGCACAGCTGGGATGGGTCGAAGCTTTCGAAGAGCGCGAGGCGTTCGGTGTTCATGACGCTGTGGTTGTTTTTGAAGGACCCGTTGTTGATGTATCCGTTGTTGGTGTGCCGTCCGTGTTGATACTTGCACACCGCTCGGCCTTTGATCGCGAAGATCCCTCTGTTCCTTCCTTCCTCCCTCCCTCCTTCCCACCCTTTCTCCTTTCCTCTCTTCTGCTTTTGTTTTCCCCTCGATGGACCCTAATTCGTCTCACATAGTGGGCCCGGGTGCGCTCGGTGCTGAGGCCAAAGTTGGCTCAAAAGCTGGCCGACGAGGCGAACACAGAAATAACCGGTTCGACTCCCGAGCACAACCACGAAGACCACGACGACGACGAGGAGGACGATGTGGACCACGAGCAAGAAATGGCGAGTAAGGAGCAGCAGGAGAGGCAAGAGAAGGAGAAGGAGGAAAGGCAGGAGATCAATGACAAGACGGAGAAGGAGAAAGAGCACTATCGCCTGAAGCTGCTCGAGGTGGAACAGGAGAATGAGAAGCTGAAGGCGCAGAACAAGGTGGACGAGCGCGTGGTGGAGGAGGCCGGCAGCCCGGTTCCGTCCGGCAAGCCCGGCAGGGGGGAGGCGGACTCCGGCGAGCATCGGGGGCCCTCGCCGGGTAAAGAGTCGCAGGACGTGGAGTACGGGTTCGACCCGTTCTACGGAAAACCGTGGGGCACGGAGGTTCCAAAGGTGAGTGCGGACGGGGGCGCGGTGAGGGGAGTAGGATTGGGCGGGCAAGGTCGCTTGCGAGGGCTTTGAACGGCCATTGACCCACGTTGAAGACTGACTACAACGCAAGGAGAGGCTGGTGATACCGGGAGCGGTGGCTACGCATTTTTCTGTTGTTGGAGCGAAAACATGTTTCGGTGGCAGACTTCCGGGTGTATCCGTCGAGCTCTTCGTGTTTCCCTTGCTCGTTCTCTCCTTCCGTGCTTCGAACCCTTGCAACGAAGGTGCGGCCGGGTGTCGGCGATGCCTCGGAAACGCCCCCGGTCACCGGCCCGACGCGTCGAAGACCCCTGTCCCGCAGCCGTGTCCTGGCCTCCCGCAAGAAGCGGTGGAATCAGAACAGGGGCGGCGGACCCGACATCCGGGTCGACTACACGCCGAACTCGGTGTCGCTGGACGACGCGGGGGAGGCCGTGTCCGCTCCTCTCGCGTCCCTTGGGCGAAGGGCAGCAGAAGACCCGCGTGTGTCGAGGTCCGCTGCAACCGTTGGAGATATGGTGATGAAGGAGAAGGAGATGGAGAAGCGGCAGCAGACGAAGAAGGCCGGCAGAGACTCTGAGGCCGTGAAGGAGGGGGACAGCAGTGGTGGCGATTTGGGGGGCTCTATTGTAACAGACACACGCGGAGGCGGAGGGCTTAAGGTACCTGAAGAGCATCTGCGTACGGTCGAAAGCGCCGCGGCGGTGAGCCTTTCCTGGGCCATGGATGCTGCCGCTGCCAGTGATGAGAAGGTGGTGCCTGCAGCACAGGGCACGGCGAAGGGACAAGGGGAGACAGAGGCAACGGGAGTATCCTTGATGCACGGATTGGTGGGCGTCTCGGCAATTGCTGCTGTGGCCGATGGCGGAAATGCAGGAAAAGGCGACGCTGCAGACGAGGGGGGAAAACGGCCTCTGGACGAAATACCCGCGGCCACGACGGACGTTTCAGGGGAAGTCGAGGCATTTGAGAACGTGGACCATGGACAGAGTGCCGCGCACGCCAACGAAGACAAGGGCGAGAGCAGTTCGACCGAAGGGGAAATCGGGAGTCGAAGCGCCGCTGCTGAACCCGATCTCGAACGTGCTGCGGCATCATCATCGGCGGTAGCTGATGGCGCTGCAGGTGGCCCGTCTGTGGACGGTTCGACAGATGATTCGGGAGCCCCTTGTTTTGAGGATGATGTCCCGGCCGAGACGGTTGCTGCTGTGGAGAGTAAAGGCGAGGACCCCGATCACCTTTTGCCGGTGGTTGATGAATCGGATGCACCTAAATCTTCATCGGAGCAACTTGCCAGTAGCCAGGAGGACGTGGCGAAGAAAGCTGCAGCCGAGGAAGGTGTCGCAGAGAGTGCTTCGGATGGAGAACAAACTACAGGGAACGGAGGCATGTCGACGGCGGCGGGTGCGGGCGAGGATACCACATCGCTCGAGACCGCGGATGCAAGGTGGGGTCTATGTCGTTTTGCGTCTGTAACTCATACCCCAAGACCCTTGCGTGTATTCCATGCTGTACGATTGGACCAGTAGATGGTCTCTGTTGTTTTGTTTTGCAGCTCATGCCCTTCATGAACCTTGTGTACGATTGAGCCCAGTACATTTTTGAATATCAATCGATTTTCCCGACCTCTCTTCTTCTATGCGCGCACACCTGACCGCGCACCGAGTACAAGCATCAAACTGCTGTTCAGGGATATTCACGTATTCTAATGCTACAAGGTCCAATGGGGATGCTAGCGACACCTATACATTGCGGTTTTTAGGTGCTCTGTGAACAATGACCAAACGGCAAAGAGCAATATGGACACTATCACCGACTTCCGAGGTACACATCGTACGCCTTCAGTCTGCCAGAATCACCATTTGAAAGGCAAAAACATCACACAAGGTGGCTGTTGACGACCCCACGATATCCATGTATTTCCCGAAAACAAATAAAGATCTTAAATCGAACTGGTTAATTAAACTAAACACACACATTCATCGTGTATGTTGTTGAGAATACACGCTGGGACCGGTACGCAGACCTCCTCTGAATGAATTGGATGCTGGGGTTTGTGTTTGCGCGGGGTATAATCCGAATCGCTTGACGCGGACGCAGGGCCGACCCCAGTGCCGACGGTGCAGACGTCGAGAAGGGCGATGAAGATGGCAAGAGTGCCCTAGCGAAGGAACACGAGAGCATCAAAGACGATGTCGACATGGCAGACAAGGCTACGAGCGACGCCAGTGTCGGAGGTGGCAGCGGCAGCGGTAACGGTGCTGAGCCAAAGACGGACATGCGAAAAGAGGTCTCGACACCGCTGCCGGAATCGACGGCCAAGGCTGAAACCGATAGCTCAGCCTCCGATGCTGGTCGTGGTCGTGATCGGTGGTGGGGCGGTCGCGTCTCGAGCAATGTCGCCCCGGCGTCGGAGGTGAGTATTGCGGAGCGATCGTCGGCAGAGCCTGACGACGGTAGTGCGACCGGGGAACACGACAGCCAAGCAAGTCTCGCAGCAGGAGCAGCAGAGACAGAAAGGGCCCACTCGAGCAGCGTCGGCGGCGGTGTGGACTCGATCCCTTGGTTGAAACCGACGAAGGGAGCCCCCGATGATGGTTCGAGGGCCACGCGCAAGGATTATACGAGAGGTGGCAAGCCAAAGTGGCGAAAGGGCAGTGGGCGTGGGGACGTGGATGGGTCTGAAGCGAGGAAGGCGGTGGACCGAGGTGGCGATTTGGCGAGCTCGGTCACGGTTGAACCACAAGGAGCCGGAGGGCTTGTGGTACCGTCGGCGTCTGAGGAGCCGATCTCAAAGACCGAAACCGCTGATGTGGTGGACCTTCCAGCGATGGTGGATGACGCCCCTGCCATTGATGAGGAGGTGATGTCCCCAGGGGAGGAGAAGACGGCGGAGAAAGGCGAGACAGAGGCAGCGGGAGGTTCATCTGTGGACGGTTCGACAGATGATTCGGGAGTCCCTGATGTTGGCGATGATGCCCCGGCAGAGACTGCTGTCGCTGTGGGGACTGAGGTCGACAACTCCGATTCCCGATTCCCGGCGATTGATGAGGCGGATGCAACTGATTCTTCATCGGGGCAAGTTGGGAGTAGCCCGGGAGACAGGGCGAAGGAAGATGCAGCGAAGGAAGACGTCGCAGGCAGTTCTTCGGACGGAGAAGAAGCCGCAGGTGGAAGCGGCATATTAACATCAGTGGATTCGTGCACGGAGCCGCTCGAGGCCGCGGATGCAAGGTAGGGTCTGTAGCCTGTGGGCCTGTAGCCCAGTCTCTGTCGTTTTTTGTGTGCCATCTTCTGCCCTACATTTGCCCTGTGTGTACGATTGGTCCTATACGTTTTGGAACATCGATCGATTTCCGGACCTGTCTTCTTCTAGTCGGACCACACCTGAGGACACACCGAGTACGACGCATCAAACTGTTGCAGGGACGATCGCCGATCTATAGCTACAAGGTCCAATGGGGACGCTAGCCATACCAATACGGTTTTGAGGTGCGGCGTGAACAACAACGAAACGGCATAGAGGAGATAAGGACATTTTTACCACCGACGTAGGAGGGACAGATCATACGCTTTTTAGTCTGCCAGAATCGCCTTTTGAACGTAAAAAACTTCACAAGGTTGCCTTTGACGACCACACGGCTTCCATGTCCTCCCAAAAACCACAGAGAAAATGTTCAAACTACTTTATTTATCTTAACACACCCATTTTTCGTTTTATTTTATTTTTGAGAATGTAATGGCGGATATTTTCTATGGAAAGTTATTCTTGTACTCAAATATGTCTTGAGCAGTTTCCGTGGAAAACTACAAACGCCCTGGGGCCTGTACGCAGCCCTCCTATGAAGGTAGTGCATGCATCACTCCAAACACGCTGGGGGCTGCACGCAGACCTCATCTGAAGGTATTGCATGCAACACTACAAACACGCTGGGACCTGCACGCAGACCTCCTCTGAAGGAATTGCATGCACGGGGGGTTTTGTTTGCGCGGGATATAATCCGAATCGCTTGACACGGACGCAGGGTCGACCCCAGTGCCGACGGTACGGGCGTCGAGGAGGGCGATGAGGACGGCAAGCGTGCCCTAGCGAAGGAACACGATGTCGACATGGCAGACAAGGCTACGAGCGACGCCAGTGGTGCAGGTGGCGCCGGTAACGGGGCTGACGCTAAGACGGATACACAAGGTGAAGTTTCGACACCTCAGCCGAAATTGACGTCCAAGGCTGAAACCGATACCTCTGCCGCCGACGCTGGTCGTGGCCATGATCGGTGGTGGGGCGGTCGCGTCTCGAGCACTGTCTCCCCGGCGTCGGAGGAAAGCGTTGGTGAGCGATCGTCGGCAGAGCCTGACGACGGTAGTGCGACCGGGGAACAAGACAGCCAGGTTGATCTCGCAGCAAAAGAAGCAGAGACAGACGGAGCCCACTCGAGCAGCGTCGGCGGCGGTGTGGACTCGATCCCTTGGTTCAAACCGGAGAAGGGAGCCCCTGGTGATGATTCGAGGGCCACGCGCAAGGATTATACGAGAGGTGGCAAGCCAATGTGGCGAAAGGGCAGTGGGCGTGGGGACGTGGATGGGTCTGAAGCGAAGAAGGCGGTGGACCGTGGTGGCGATTTGGCGAGCTCGGTCACGGTTGAACCACAAGGAGCCGGAGGGCTTGTGGTACCGTCGGCGTCTGAGGAGCCGATCTCCAAGGCCGAAACCGCTACGGTGGTGGACCTTCCAGCGATGGTGGATGATGTCGCTGCCATTGATGAGGAGGTGATGTCCCCAGGGGAGGAGAAGACGGTGGGGAAAGGTTTGAGAGAGGCAGCGGGAGGTTCATTTGTGGACGGTTCGACAGATGATTCGGGAGTCCCTGATGTTGGCGATGATACCCCGGCAGAGACTGCTGTCGCTGTCGAGACTGAGGGCCAGAACTCCGATTCCCGATTCCCGGCGATTGATGAGGCGGGCGTAACTGATTCTTCATCGGGGCAAGTTGGGAGTAGCCCGGGAGACAGGGCGAAGGAAGATGCAGCGAAGGAAGATATCGCAGGCAGTTCTTCGGACGGAGAAGAAGCCGCAGGTGGAAGCGGCACATCAACGTCAGCGGATTCGAGCACGGAGTCCATGTCGCTCGAGGCCGCGGATGCAAGGTAGGGTCTGTAGCCTGTGGGCCTGTACCCCAATCTGTGTTTTTTTGTGTGCCATCTTGTGCCCTAAATATGCCTTGCGTACCAATATGGTTTGGAATATCAATCTATTTTCCGTCCTGTCTTCTTCTAGTAGCCCCACACCTGAGCGTACACCAATTACGACGCATGTTATAGGGACGATCACATAATCTATAGCTACAAACAAGGTTCGGTGGGGACGCTAGCGGAACCAATACGGTTTGAGGTTCGGCGTGAACAATAGCCGCAAGAGGCGATATGGGCACTTTCACCACCGACGTAAGAGGGACACATATTCACCTTTGCAGTCTGCCATCGCCTTTTGAACGTCAAATTTTACAAGGTAGCCATTGACGACCCCACGGCATCCATGTCCTCCCCAAAACCAAAGAGACAATGATCAAATTTCGTAGCTAAAATACCACCGATCTTCGTTTTTTTTTTGAATGTAATGGCGGATATTTTCTATGGAAAGTTATGTTTGTACACTAAAATATGTCCTTGGCATTTTCCCTGGAAAACTAAAAACCACGCTGGGGCCTGCACACAGTCCTCCTCTGAAGGCAGTGCATGCAAAACTACAAACACGCTGGGGGCTGCACGCAGACCTCCTCTGAAGGTATTGCATGCAACACTACAAATACGCTGGGACCTGCACGCAGACCTCCTCTGAAGGAATTGCATGCATGGGGATTTGTTTGCGCGGGGTATCAAATCCGAATCGCTTGACACGGACGCAGGGCCGACCCCAGTGCCGACGGTGCAGGCGTCGAGGAGGGCGATGTGGATGGAAAGGATGCCCTAGCGAAAGAAAAGAGCATCAAAGACGATATGCACATGGCAGGTGAAGACACAAGCGACGGCAGCGCGAGTGGTCGAGGTGACAGCGGCAGCGGTAGCAGTAGTCACAGTCCTGAAGCCACGAAGGAGGAGGAGAACGGTGACGGTTTGGAGAGCTCGGTCACGGTCGACACACAAGGAACCGAAGAGCTTGTCGTACCGTCGGCGTCTGAGGAGCCGGTCGCGGAGGCGGAAAAGGCCACGGTGGCCGTGGATGCTGCTGCTGCAGTTGATGTGGAGATGGCGCCCGCAGGAGAGAAGAAGACGGTGGGGCATGGCGAGACAGAGGTAGCGGGAGAGGTGTCGACGGACGGAGTGGGGGATGTCTCGGGAGCTGCCGCAGAAGCGGAAATTGTTGTCGCTGTAGACAAAGATGCCGGTGGCCAGTCGCTGATCGGCCCAAAAGCCGATCTCGAGGACCTGATGGCGTCGTCATCGGGAACGGCTGGTGTTGCAGCACGAGATTCATGTGTGTACAGATCGCCAGATGATTCGGCAGCCCCTGGTGTTGACGATGAGAGGCCGGCGCAGGCTAGCGTCGCTGTAAACACTGGAGGCGAGGACACCGATCACGCCCTGACGGCGACTGATCAGACGGATGTGGAGATTGGGTCTCCATCGGAACAATTTGCGAACGCTGCTACAGCCGAGAACGGCGCCACAGAGAGTGCTTTTGACGGAGAACAAGCTACAGACAGTGGTGGCATGTCGAAGACAGCGGGTGCGAGTGGGAAGTCCCCGTCGCTCGAGACCGCGGATGCAAGGTGAGGTCTCTCAAGTGTGCGTCTGTAACGAATACCCCACGGCCTTGTAAGCATTGCATGCCGTGGACCAGTGGATAGTTTTGGTGTGTGTAGTTGTTCCCCTCGCTCGTGCTTGGCAAGTTGAACCAACTCTGCTAACAATCCCATGCCGAGTGCGGCGCATCGAACTTGCATTTGGATGACTCCATACGGCTGCATGGTAAATCCAACGGGAACACTGACAACCCCGTCTGTTTTGAGGGGAATCGTGAACGATGTCAGGAGTAGACTATTTTCCATTGAGCACGATGGGTGAACGGGGTTCGGCCCGCTTCACCATAGGATCGATGTCAACGATATATCCTAGCTCCCACCAATAACAAGACTTGCCCCAGAAACGAAACATGTCCGTCTTGCTTATCATCATGGCCTTCGTTTTGCCAATGGCATCACACGGACGATAGGGCTAAGCCCGGTGTCGACGATACAGACGACGACGAGGGCGACGATGATGGCAAGAGTGCCCTAGCCAAGGAAGAAGAGATTATGCAAGACGAAGTCGGCGTGGCAGACAAGGCCGCAAGCGACATCGGGGGCGGCGGTGGAGGTGGCAGCTCCAGCGGTAAACGTACCGAGTCAATAACTGATACACAAGGGGACGTCTCGACACCGCAGCCGGCATCGATGGCCACGGCTGAAACCGACAGCTCCAGCTCCGGCGCAGGGCGTTCATGTGAGGACGGGTTGATCAATGGTTCGGGAGCCCCTGGTGCTGAGGATGACAGCCTGGCAGAGGCTGTTGTCGCTGAAGGCAGTCCAGCCGAGGACTCCGATGACGCCTTGACGGCGGGTGATGAGGCGAAGGTGGAGGTCGGCTCTTCATCGGGGCAACTGTCGAGTAACCCGAGGGATACAGCGAAGGACTCGACAGCCGAGGAAGATGTTGCAGAGAGTTCTTCGGACGAAGAAGAAGGTACAGGCAGCGGTATCATGTCGACGGCATCGGGTGCGGGTGTGGAGACCACGTCGCTCGAGACTGCGGATGCGAGGTGGGTTTTCCAACGTATGCGTGTGAAATCTCGACTGTGCCCAGGGCTTTGCTAGCATTTCATGCGGTTCGATAGGTTTGGTAGATATTTTCGGTGTGTGTGCCGTGGTTTTTCCAAGCTCCTGCGTGTCAAGTCGAACCAAAGCTAAATAATCGTATACCAAATGTGGCGGATCGAACTTGCATTTGGAGGCCTGTAAACGGTTGCATGGTCAATCCAACTGGAACATTGACGAAGCCCATCCGTTCCGAAGCGAATCGCGCACGAAGTCAATATCAGGAAAGCCTCTCCAATCTCCTGTGCAGAGGTTCTCCACATCCCATTTAACTCCGAGAAGCACTAGTCGAAGGTGTCAATATGACGATTGACCGTACGTGGTAGAAAGTGTAGGCACTGCAGTTCAACGCTCGATCCACAAAGTGCCTGTGATTTGTTCCCTCGAAGGCGGTGAATATACAAGGATTGCCCCGCTTCGCCTTAGGATCCATCGGTTGTCAAGGATGCCGAAAACGAGTCTTGCCCCCTCGAAAACCATATAGGTCTGTTTTTTAATACTAAAGAGCCATGGCCTCCGGTTTGCTTTGGTGTGACACTGTCAGATCGCACCACATGGACGACAGGGCAAAGCCCGATGCCGACGATACAGGCGGTGAGGAGGGCAACGATGATGACAAGAGTGCCCTGGCCAAGGAAGAAAAGAGCATTCAAGGCGATGCCGACGCTGCAGAAGAGGCTACCATTGGTGGAGATGACAGCGGCAGCGACAACGGTACGAAACCCAAGACGGACATGCGAGGTGAGGTCTCGACACCGCAACCGGAATCGACGGCCAAGGCTGCAACCGGCACGTCCGCCTCCGACGCTGGACGTGGCGGTGGTCGGTGGTGGGGCGGTCGCGTCTCGGACACTGTCGCCCCGGATTCCGAGGTTATCGTCGGGGCGCGAGCTTCGGCAGAGCCTGACGATGGTCGTGCGACTGAGGAGCAGGACAGTCAGGGTGATTCCGCAGAAGCAGCAGCAGAGACAGACGGAGTCCGTGGCGATGAGGACTCGTTCCCTTGGTTGAAGCCGGCGAAGGGCGCCCCCGGTGATGGTTTGAGGACGTCGCGCAAGGATTACGCTAGAGGTGGCAAGCCAAAGTGGCGAAAGGGCGGTGGGCGTGGGGACGTCGGTGGTTCTGATACGGAGAAGGCGGAGGAGAGTGGTGGCGGTTCGGAGAGCTCGGTCAGGGCCCGCACGCAAGGAGCCGAAGAGGTGGTACCGTCGGCGTCTGAGGAGCCGCTTCCAAAAGTGGAAAAGGCTACGGTGGCCGTAGATGGTACTACTGCAGTTGATGAGGCGGTGGCGTCCCCAGGAGAGGAGAGGACGGTGGGACAAGGCGAGAGAGAGGCAGCGGCAGTATCATTGATGGGAGGAGTGGTGGACCTCTCTGGAGTTGGTGGTTTAGGCGTTGGCGGCGCTGTCTCTGTGGATGCAGACTCCGATGGCGTGACTCCAGCCAACCCGGGCGCCAAGTTGGAAGACGATGAGGGGTCCTCATCAGCAACTGCTAATGGTGCTGCAGGAGATTCAGCTGTGGAAGGGTTGATGACCGGTTCTGGGGCCCGTGGTGCTGCGGATGACAGCCTGGCAGAGGCTGTTGGCACTGTAGACCCTCCAGGCAAAGACTCCGATGATTCTTTGACGGCGGGTGATGAGGCGAATGTGGCGGTCGATTCTTCATCGGAGCAACTGCCGAGTAGCCCGGGGGATACACCGAAGGTAGCGATAGCCGGGGAACGTGTCGCAGAGAGTTCTTGGGACAAAGAAGAAGCTACAGGCAGCGGTATCATGTCGGCGGCATCGGGTGGGGACGCAGAGACCACGTCACTCGAGCCCGCGGATGCAAGGTGGGTTCTCTAACGTGTGCGTGTGAAATCTAGACTATACTCAGGCCCTTGCTAGCGTTTCATACGGTGCGATTGGTTTGGTGGATGCTTTGAGCGTGGCTCGTAGTGTTTTCCCGAGCTCTTGTTATTCGGATGACGGGTAGTGGGGCACGAAGTGCGACGCATCGCGTTTGCACTTGTATGACCCCATTCGGATACAAGGTCGATCCAACTGGGATAATGACGAAACCCATCGGTTTCGAGGTGCACGGTGAACACACGCAGTATCAGGAGTGAGTTCTCCAATCAAGCGCCCAGAGGTCCTCGACGCTTCATTCAACTACCAAATCATCAGGCGACATGCCAATACGACGTGTTACGTTGGCACGCCGTATGTTGTCCTATTAGTTGCAGGTGTAGGCGCTACAGTGCAGCTCTCGAATCCACAATTTGCCTGTGATGATGTACCCCAACGACGAATACCAACCAGGGCCGGCGCGCTTTGTCATAGGATCCAATGGGTGTCAAAAGCCATATATCCCTGTACCCACCAAAAACAACGCTTGCCCCCCAGCAAAACCAAACATGTCTGTTTCTTGTACCTTAATCGTCATGGCCTCCGTTCGCTTCTGTGTGGTACTGTCTGATCGCATCACACGGACGACAGGGCCAAACCCAGTGCCAACGATACAGACAGCGAGGAGGGCGACGACGATCGGCAGCGTGCCCCAGCCAAGGAAGAAGAGAACATCACGGACGATGTCGACGCTGCAGACAAGGTTACAAGCGACACCAGCGGTGGAGATGACAGCGGCAGCGGTAAAGGTGCTGAGTCGATAGCGGATACCCAAGGTGACGTGTCGGCACCTCAGCTGGAATCGACGACCAAGGCTGAAACCGACAGCTCCGCCTCCGAGGCTGGACGTGGCCGTCGTTCGTTGTGGCACGGGTCCGAGGTTGGCGTTGGGGAGCGAGCGTCGGCAGAGTCTGACGGTGGTCGTCCGATTGAGGAACAGGACGGTCAGGTGGATCTCGCACCAGGAGCAGCAGAGGCGGATGAAGCCACTTCGAGCAGTGTCCGGGATGGTGTGGACTCCGTCCCGTGGTGGAAGACGGCCAAGAGCGCCCTCGGTGAGGGTTGGAGGGCCTCGCGCAAGGATTTACCAAAAAGCGGCAAGCCAAGGTGGCGAAAGGGCAGTGGCCGTGGGGACGTCGGTGGTTCTGCGTCCACGAACGTCGGTGGTTCTGAAGGGAAGAAGACGGAAGAGACAGATGGCGGTTTGGAGAGCTCGGTCGCGGCCGACACGCAAGGAGTCGAAGAGCTTGTGGTACCGTCGGCGTCTGAGGAGCCGCTTTCAAAGTTAGAAAAGGATACCGCCGTGGATGGAATTGCTGCAGTTGATGAGGCGGTGGCGTCCCCAGGAGAGGAGAGGACGGGGGGGCAAGTTGAGACAGAGGAAGCGGGAGTATCATTGATGGGCGGAGCGGTAGATATGTCTGGACTTGGTGGTTTGGACGATGGCGGCGCTATCTCTGTGGGCCGAAGTTCCGATGGCGTGACGACGGCCGGCCCAGAAGCCAATCTCAAAAACGGTGAAGGGCCCTCATCTGCAACTACCAATGGCTCTGGAGGAGAATCTTCTGTGGACGAAATGATGAGCGGCTCGGGAGCCCCTGGTGCTGGGGATAGCGGTCAGGCAGAGGCTGTTGTCCCCGAAGACAGTCCAGCCGAGGACTCCGATGACGCTTTGACGGCGGGTGATGAGGCGAATGTGGAGGTCGGTTCTTCATCGGAGCAACTTGCCAGTAGCCCGAGGGATATAGCGAAGGAAGCGACAGCCGAGGAAGGCGTCGCAGAGAGTTCTTCGGACCAAGACGAAGCTACAGGCAGCGGTATCACGGCGTCGGGTGCGGGCGTGGAGACCATGTCCCTCGAGCCCGCGGATGCAAGGTGGGTTTCCAAACGCTTGCGTGTGAAACCTAAGCTATACCCAGACCCTTGCTGGTGTTCTCCCGGTAGATTTTGTTTGATAAGTAGGTTTTTGTGTGTCTCGTGGTTTTCCCGAAGTCCTGCGTGTCAAGTCGAACCACAGCTAATCGCATACCGAGTGCGGTGCAATGAGCTTGCATTTGGACAACTCCATACAGCTTGCAAGGTCAACCCACCTGGAAGGCTGACGAACCCCATCCGCTTCGAGGTGAATGGAGAACAAAGTCTATATCGGGATTAGACTCGAATCTACAGCCATGAGACCATTTCGCCAGTTCATGACGTTGGACGTTGGCACGCCGTATGCTGTCTAAATGGTGTAGGTGTTGGCACTGTAGTGCAACGCCTGATCCACAATGTGGCTGTGATGTTTTCCCTCATGAACAAATCCTTGCCATAGGATCCATCAGGTGTCAACGACGTCACCGCACCCGGAACACCCATGTGTTTCAAGTTTTCCGATCAACTGGAAATACCGATATGTTTCATTTCCTCTATACCTCCATGTGTGGTGTGCGACGATGACATACCCATTCAGCAGAGCTAACGTGCCAGCACTGGCATGGTTGCAGGGGTGAATGTTGCCCCGGAATCGCTGTCACTCAACTACCCTAGGTTACGAGTGCACCCCTGTGCGGTGACTCCGGACCCTGTGCGAAAAACCAATTTCATCATTTTGCGATATGTCCTTGTACCCACCGACAACAAGACTTGCCCCTACCAAGAACCAAACATGTCTGTTGTTCTCTAATCGTCATGGCCTCCTTTTGCTCGATGCTGTCTGATCGCATCACACGGACAATAGGGCCAAGCCTACCGCCGACGATACAGACAGCGAGGAGGGTGACGATTATGGCAATGGTTCAGAGGAGAGCGTCCAGGACAACGTCAACGCTGCAGACAAGCCTACAAGCGGCAACAGTGGTGGAGGAGGCAGCGGTAGCGACAACGGTGCTGCTGAGTCGAAGGCAGGCCACCGGGGTGAGGTCTCAACACCGCAGCCGGAGTCGATGGCCAAGGCTGCAACCGACACCTCCGCCTCCGACGCTGGACGTGGCGGTGTTCGGTGGTGGGGCGGTCGCGTTTCGAATGCTGTCGGCCCGGCGTCCGAGGTTATCGTCGGGGAGCGATCGTCTGCAGAGCCTGACGATGGTCGTACGACGGAGGAGAAGGACAGTCAGGTTGATTCGGCAGGAGAAGTAGCAGAGAAAGATGGGGCCGACTCGAGCAGCGTCCGTGACGGTGTGGACTCGTTCCCTTGGGGCAAACCGGTCAAGGGCGCCCCCGATGATCGTTCGAGGGCGTCACGCAAGGAATACGCTAGAAGCAGCAAGCCAACGTGGCGAAAGGGCAGTGGGCGAGGGGACGTCGGTGATTCCGAAGCGACGAACACGGAGAAGAGTGGTGGCGGTTTGGAGAGCTCGGTCACGGCAGACAGGCAAGAAGCCAAAGGGCTTGCGATACCGTCGGCATCTGAGCAGCCGGCCCCAAAGGTGGAAAAGGCCACGGTGGCCGTGGATGATATTGCCGCAGTTGATGAGACCGTGGCGTCCCCAGGAGAGGATAGACCGGGGGGGGGAGTGGAGACAGAGGCAGCGGGAGTATCATTGATGGGCGGAGTGGTAGACATCTCGGGAGTAGGCGGTTTAGGCGATGTCGGCTCTGCCTCTGTGGACGGAAGTTCCGATGGGGTGACGCCGGCTGGCCCAGAACCAGATCTCAAAGGCGATGAGGGTTCGTCATCTTCAACTGCTGATGGTGCTGCAGGAGAATCATCTGTGGACGAAATGATGAGCGGCTCGGGAGCCCCAGATGCTGAGGATGACAGCCTGGCAGAGGCTGTTGCTGCCGAAGACAGTCCAGCCGAGGACTCCGATGACGCCTTGACGGCGGGCGATGAGGCGAATGTGGAGGTCGGTTCTTCATCGGAGCAACGTGCCAGTAGCCCGAGGGATACAGCGAAGGAAGCGACAGCCGAGGAACGTGTCGCAGAGAGTTCTTCGGGCAGAGAAGAAGGTACAGGCAGCGGTATCATGTCGACGGCATCGGGTGCGGGTGTGGAGACCACGTCGCTCGAGACCGCGGATGCGAGGTGAGGTTCTCAAAGTGTGCGTGTGAAACCTAGACTATACCCAGCCCTTGCTGGTGTTGCATCCGGTCAAGTTTACTTGGTATTGTAGACGTTTTCGGTGTGTGTCGTGGTTGTTTCCCGAGTTTCTTTCAAGTCGAACCACAGCTAGTCGTATCCCGAGTGCGGCGCATTGAGCTCGCATCTGGACAACTTCGTGCAGCTTGCAAGGTCAACCCACCTGGAACGATCACGAAACCCATCGGTTTCGAGGCAAATGGTGAACAAGGTCAATATCGGGAATGGACTCTCAAATGCACTTCCATGAGCCCTCCACTTCCCATTTAACTGTCAGAATCGCCAGTTGAACGCGGCATTATGACGTTGGACGTTAGCACACCGTGTGTTGTCTCATTGGTTGCATGTGTAGGCACTGCAGTGCAACGCTTGATCGACATCGTGCCCGTGACATTTTGCCTTGAAGGCGGTGAACATACAGGGATGAGCTCGTCGCCGCAGGATTCATCGGCTGTCAAGGGCTGTCCCTGTAACAACCTTAAAGAGACTTGCCCCGGCCAAAAACAAACAAACGTGTCTGTGTGTTGTTCTCTAATCGTCATGGCATCCGCTTGCTTCGTGTGATTGTCTCCGATCGCGCCACACGAACGACAGGGTCAAGCCTACTGCCGACGACACAAACGGCGAGGAGGGTGACGACGATGGCAAGGGTTCAGCAGAGAGCATCCAAGACGATGTCGACGCTGCAGACAAGCCTACAAGCGCCACCGGTGGTGGAGGTGGTAGCGGAAGCGATATCGTTGCTGCTGAGTCGAAGACAGACACGCGAGGTGAAGTCTCAACACCACAGCCGGAATCGACGGCCAAGGCTGAAACGGACATCTCCGCCTCCGAGGCTGGACGTGGGCGTGATCGGTGGTTGGGCGGTCGCGTCTCGAATGTTGTCGGCCCGGCGTCCGAGGTTATCGTCGGAGAGCGATCGTCGGCAAAGCCTGACGATGGTCGTCCGACTTTGGAACAGGACAGCCAGGTGGATCCCGCAGAAACAGTAGCAGGGACAGACGGAGCCGACTCGAGCAGCGTCCGTGGCGATGTGGACTCGTTCCTTTGGTTGACGCCGGCGAAGGGTGCCCCCGATGATCGTTCGAGGGTTTCGCGCAAGGATGTCACTAGAAACGGCAAGCCAAAGTGGCTAAGGGGCAGTGGCCGTGTGGATGTGGATGGTTCTGAGGGGACGAAGGCAGAGGAGAGTTATGGGGGTTTGGAGAGCTCGGTCGCGCCCGACACACTAGGAGCCGAAGGGCTTGTGGTACCGTCGGCGTCTGAGGAGTCGGTCCCGGAGGTGGAAATGGCCACGGTGGCCGTGGAGGGTACTGCTGCAGTTGACGAAGCAGTGGCATCCGCAGGAGAGGAGACGGCGGTGGGACAAGACGAGTCAAAGACAGAGGAAGGTTTTTTGAAGGACGGGGTGGTTGATGTCTCGGGCGTGGCAGATTTAGGCGACGTCGACGCTGTCTCTGGGGACGGAATTTCCGATCGCGTGACGACAGCCGGCCCGGAAGTCGATCTTGAAGACGCTGAGGCATCATCATCGGCAGTTGCTCATGTCGCCACGGGAGGTTCGCCCATTGACGGATTGGTGGATGTTTCTCGAGCCCTTGGTGCTGGCGATGACCGGCCGGCGGAGACTGCTGTCGCTGTGGACATTCCAGGCCCGGACTCCCATGACGCTTTGACGGCGGCCGACAAGCCGGATGGGAAGATTGGTTCTTCATCGGGGCAATTTTCGAGTGGCTCAGGAGAGAGGGCAAAGGAAGCTACAGCCGGAGATGGTGTTACCACGTCGCTCGAGCCCGCGGATGCAAGGTCGAGTGTCGGACGTGTGCGCCTGTAGCTCATATTCTCAAAGCCCTTGCTGGTGTTGCATGCCGAGCGATGTGTGTACTCTAGGTGTATGCGGTGGTCTCCCGACCTCCTCACCTAGTCATGCATCGAGTACGACGCATCGAATTTGAGACTCCACACAGCTGTAAGGCACTGGAATTCTGACAGACCGCATCCATTGTGAGGTGAAACATGAACGTTGTCAACGTCACGAGACCCTTTGGACACTACCATCAACTGCCGAGAGGCCCCCCACTTCCCATTAACCTACCAGAATCACCAATTGAACACCGCAACAATACGTGTGGCATTAACACAATGTAACAGTTTACACAGCAGTAATTGAACCCTCTCTGGCCTTCATTTCATTCGCTTGGATTTAGACTGAGTGATTACGCTTTCTCCCCACATCACTGGCAAGCCTTTCATGGTCCGCTGTGACCCGTTTCACAGCACGCTGCCTGTCTGTCGAGTGCTCCGTATCCCAGCTGTACTCGCTATACTCTTTTGCACTTCGTATACTCTGTATATACATAAAATCCGTGCTACATTCCATCAGCTGAGTGTCTTGTCCTTGCCCCCGCCAAAACCAAGCATGCCTTTCTCGTTGTGCTTCACTCACGACGGAATCCGTTTTTCTTTGTACGATACAACCCGTGCATATCACACGGACGACAGGGCCAAGCCCAGTGCAGACGATACCGACGGCAAGGAGGGTGACGAGAATGGAAAGCGTGCCGCAACCAAGGAAGAAGAGAGCATGCAAGACGATATCGGCATGGCAGACAAGCCTACAAGCGACACCAGCGGTGGAGATGACAGCGGCAGCGGTAACGGTGCTGGACCCAAGATGGGCATGGGAGGTGAGGTCTCAACACCGCAGCCGGAATATAGGCCTACAACCGACACCAGCGGTGGAGATGACAGCGGCAGCGGTAACGGTGCTGAGCCCAAGACGGACATGGGAGGAGAGGTCTCAACACTGCAGCCGGAATCGATGACCAAGGCTGAATCCGACGCCTCGACCTCCGACGCGGGACGTGGCCGTGGTCGCTGGTGGGGCGGTCGCGTCTTGGACACTGTCGCCCCCGCGTCCGAGGATAGCGTTGGGGAGCGGGCTTCGGCAAAGCCTAAAGATGGTCGTGCGACGGAGGAGCAGGACAGCCAGGTGGATCCCGCAGAACCAGTAGCAGAGACAGAAAAAGTCGACTCGAGCAGCGTCCGCGGCGGTGTGGAATCGGTCCCTCGGTGGACGCCGGCCAAGGACACCCGCGGTGACGTTCCGAGGACCTCGCGCAAGGACTACACTAGAAGCGGCAAGCCAAAGTGGAACAAGAGCAGTGGGCTTGGAGACGTGGATGGTCCTGAGGCGAAGAAGACGGAGGAGAGTGATGGCGATTTGGAGAGCTCGATCACGGCCGACACACCAGGAACTGAAGAGCTTGTGGTACCGTCGGCGTCTGAGGAGCCGCTTCCAAAGGCGGCGGTGGTTGTGGATGATACCGGTGCTGTTGATGAGGAGGTGGCGTCCGCAGGAGAGGAGACGGCGTTGGGACAAGACGAGACAGAGACAGCGGAAGGTTCATTGATGCACAGAGTGTTAGATGTCTCGGGAGTAGGCGCTGTAGGCGTCGGCGGCGCCGTCTCTGCGGACACTAACTCCGACGGCGTGACGACGGACCCGGAGGCTGGTCTCGAAGACGATGAGGAGTCGTCATCGGCAACTGCTGATGGTGCAGCGGGGCATGTAGCTGAGGATGGATTAATAGATGATTCGGACGCGCCTCGTGGTGATGATGACCGGTCGGCGGAGGGTGTTGCCGCTGCAGACACTGACGGCGGGGACACCCATGATCAGGCCGATGAGGAAGTCGCGTCTTCATCGGAGCAACTTGTGACTAGCACGGGGGATACAGCGGAGGCTGATACAGCCGAGGAAGGTGTCACAGAGAGTGCTTTGGGCGGAGAACCAGCTGATGGCAGCGAAGATATTTCGACGGCAGTTGATTCGAGCGCGGAGATCACGTCGCTCGAGACCGCGGATGCAAGGTGAGGTCCCGTAGCGTGTGCTTCTGTAGCTCAACTAGGGCACTGGCGGGTGTTGCCATTTCGCGCGATGTGCCCTTTGGGTGTATGGGGTGGTCTCCTCGCCCAATCATACGCCGAGTTCAACGCGATCAAACTTGGGTTCGAAGACCCCACTAGCTGCAAGGTTAACCAACTGGACGTCTGGCGAAATCCATCCGTTTTGAGGTAACACCTGAACATCATACGGCGGGGAAATCCCTCAGTTGTGTACAACACGCAGCAGCAGGGCGTTTGGAAGACAAGTTTTGCGGGTTTAACCAGGGTAGCAAAGCCTTCACGATCTACAATACCTCCAAGGGAACTGCGGTGGAGAGGTGGACTTCACAATCATTGCAAACCCAACCTATACTCTTCCCGAGGGCTACGACTAAGAAGAGGTCACACCATTTCACATCAGCCCTAGAAGGGTCTAACCACGGCGGGCATAATTCGACCGCGGGTGGAGTTACCGCTTCACCACGAACCAACTCGTCGAGCTCGAGAGCTTCTGCGACAAGAAAGTTGCATCCTGAAGCATAACAATGAAGGTCGACAGAAACTATTGAAGTGGGAACAAGCCAGCGGGTGTGGAACAGGGTCAACACCCGTTTTTGCTACACCTGGGATCACACCGGACGAAACTGGGGTCACAGCATCTGGGGGGGGGGGGGTGTACTCATAGTCGTGCATGCCGTAGTCGTTAGACCATTGACCTCGCATCCCTACAAAGCCGGGACGGAGCACGCCGGGTTCTCACCAGACCAGGCTCTCACATCACCAAGCGCGAAGCGCCGTGAGGTATTCGGCGAGTCGCATGAAGGGTGAGCTGCATCCTGCTAAGGGTGTTCGGCATCTTGTGCTTACTTCCTTGCATACGAATGACAGCTGCGTATGACTTAATTTATTTTCTGGTGCTTTCACTTCCAGAGACAGTTGTAAGCACTGTGTAACTGCCTCAAGGATGCTTGACCATTTTAACACAACGTGGTGCGATCATCCCCCTTGCGCGGAGTGAGGCTTCTCGACCCCGCACAACATGATCTACTCGACCACCATTCACGGTTACCGCAAAAAAAAAAACAGAGGTAAAAACAAAAACGGTAACCTGGTTGCCGAGTTCACGAAGTGACTTGGCTTGTTTTACAACGTCGTTGCCAAGCGACGAAAACCCAATCCCGATGGCAAAACACCGGGGGGGACAGCATCTGGGGGGGGGCAACTTCGAGTGTTGTCCTGAGCTTTCGATTAAATATTCCAAAAAGAGAGCAACGGTGGAGAATATCCATGATCGAACTCGGCAGCGATCTAGAGCCAGGCGATGATGGCAAATGTGGCGACTAAACACCTGTGGAGATAGCAGTTCAACACCAGTCTTGCATTAGACGACGGAGATATGGGATGGCCCATGGCATGAGACATGCGGACGGCATGATCGGCGTGCTCTGAGATCGACATTTGTTTTTGTGTGGTCCGAACGCTCATTATGATCATTTCTCCGAAGACCTTGAGTCTTCCATCATGATCGGTTTTGAGGCGCGTAGCCCAAGTTCATGATTGCCCCCGTCCTCCAGCAGACTCCGCAGTTGTCGCTCGTGTAAGCGGGGCGACGGTCTCAGAGGTCTTCTTCCCTAATAAACACATCACTGACGCCCGCGTCTCTTACTGCCGAACATGGGTGCCGGTGTTCGACAGCGTGCTGGAAAAGATCACTCGTTCTTGCGCGGTTTTGAGCCGCGTACCGGGTCCATGACTGCCGGTCATGATCCGCAAGACCCTTTGGACACTATTACCATCAAATGCCGAGAGGCCCCTCGCATCCCATTCAACATCACGAGTCGAACACGACACTATCACGTGTGACGCTGGCACTTGTTCTCATCGTTTTTTTTCTTACAAACGCACAACAATTCATCTCTTTCACATATAAGGTGTTTGTATTCTTGTCGTGGGTTGTGGGGAGAGCCGTGTAAACCTCGAACTCAAATCGTACCTGTGCTGGTTGCCGTTGAAGACGATGGACAAACAGCCACCGGCCTGCTTCGCTATTGGATCCACCAGCTGTCAAAATGTCGTGTCCTTGTCCCCGCGAACAACCGGACTCGTCTGTTAAATTCTTCCCCGCTTACCATGGCGTCCCCGATCGCAACAAACGGACGATAGGGCCAAGCCCAGTGCCGAAGATACAGACGGCGAGGACGGGGGCGATGGTGTCAAGGGCTCCCTAGCCAAGGAAGATGAGAGCATCCAAGATGATGTCGACACGGCAGACAAGGTTACGAGCGACACCAGCGATGCAGGTGTCAGCGGCAGCAAGAACGGTGCTGAACCCAAGGCGGATATGGAAGGAGAGGTCTCGACACCGCAGCCGGAATCGACGGCCAAGGCTGAAGCCGACGGTGGCAGTGGTCGGTGGTGGGGCGGTCGCATCCCGGACACTGTCGCCCAGGCGTCCGATGTTGGCGTTGGGGAGCGATCGTCGGTAGAGCCTGACGATGGTCGTGCGACGGAGGAGCAGGACAGTCACGTGACTTCAGCAGAAACAGTAGCAGAGGCAGACGGAGCGGACTCGAACAGCCTCCGCGGCGGTGTGGACTCAGTCCCTCGGCGGAAGCCGGCCAACGGTGCCCCCGGTGATGATTCGAAGGCGGCGCGCAAGGACTACGCTAGAAGCGGCAAGCCAAAATGGCCAAAGGGCAGTGGGCGTGGGGACGTGGATGGTTCTGAAGCGAAGAAGCCGGGGGAGAGTGGTGGCGATTTGGAGAGCTCGGTCAAGGCCGACATACAAGGAGCCGGAGAATTTGTGGTACCGTCGGCGTCTGAGGAGCCGATCCCAAAGGTCGACGAAAACGCCGGAGACGACGCATCGCCCACACTCAGTGCCACGACTGCGACGTTGTCTGGAGTTGGTGCTGTAGCCGATGATAGCACCGTGGGAGGAGCTGCCGTTGTCTACACAAACTCCGACGGCGCGTCAACAGCAGCTGATTATCGGGAATCGGCCATGTCTCCTGCATCGCAGCCGCAGCGGTTGACCAGTAGCCCGGGGACAAAGTCGGAGGAATCAGCGGACTCAGACAATGGGTCACAAAGGAGCGGTGGCACGGCAACGGCAGGTGATGCAAGCACGGCAGCGGGGGAGGGAAAAGGAGAGGACAACGGCGCAAAAGAAACGGTAGAGGACAAGACGTCGGTAGGAGAGGGCGTCGTCCTCAAGCGCGCCGCAGCCGCCGCAGAGACCGCTAGCGTCGGTTTTTCTGAGGGTGGTGCGGCCGACGCGGCGATCAAAGGTGCCGGTAGCAGCGTGGGACCCAGTGCGGGTAGTTTTTCCCATGGAACGGCGACGGGACCGGAGAGCGGCGGTGTTGTGACAGGTGGCGCTGATGGTGCTGCGAATGGTGCTGCGATCGTTTCCGACGACGACGCCAAGCGCGCGAGAGTCAAGGCCAAGCTGGGAGTGGCCAAGCTGCAGCAGGGTGAGGCGGAAAAGGCGGTGTCTCTGTTCGAGCAGGCGGCCCTCATCGACCCAGGGTGGTGGGAAGTTTTCTACTACGCGGCTCTCGGTAAGTTCGGAGACGCAACCGCACAAGTAGGTGGCATCCCGGGTCAGTTCATCGACGACAGTTCGAAACCCGGTGGAATGGTATGGCGTTTTTGCGCTTTTGTGTTTGCGAAACGTGGCGAAGGAAGAACTTTGCACGAACATTTGTTTTTTTGCTCAGAAAGCGTCGATATGTTTGGTCCAAAGACACGGCTGCCCCCCCCGCTTTGCACACCCGCCTTTCTTCGCAGCTCACGAAACCCTCGGAAACACCGCAGCCGCCGCACACGCTCTTGTATCCGCGCTTGGAATCCCTGCCCAAACAGAGGATGCGGAGGTTGCAAAGCTAGCTTCGCTTGCGTCGCAAGTGCTGGCGGCTCTCGAAGACGACGAGCAGCACGTGAGTCTTTTCGTTGCCTTCCTCTTGGATGAGTTTGTGCCAACGTGCTTGATGGCTACCTGGAAGGTCGCCGCCGCAGCGAAAACAGTCGCAGCGTGTTTTTTTTGCTGTTGCTGTCTTGACACAACACAACAAACCGTGCAGTGACTTCCGGAGTATCGTGTTCGGAAACAAGACGACATGGCGGTAACGTAGAGAGAGAGAGAGAGAGAGAGAGAGAGAGAGAGAGAGAGAGAGAGAGAGAGAGAGAGAGAGAGAGAGAGAGAGAGAGAGAGGATTTTGGTAGTTGTCCCGACACACGCCCGCTCTTGTCAAAACGCACACTAACATGCAGGGGTCGACGGCGGAAATCCTCAAGACCGCCATGGATTCGTCAGGCCTAATGTTCGCCGGCACGTCGTTCGTTCGCGGGGAAGGACAGGCGGGGGCAGGGCCCCCGGAAGAACCGAGAAACGAGCGGTCATTGTCGGGGGAGGATGCCCCTTATGGCGGTGCCGTCCTCGAGGAGGAAAAAGTCGACCTCTGCGACAAGATCTGGGAGGTCATTCGGGAGGTCACGGCCCCGCTTGATGCCTCGGCGGCGGTCGACGCGCCATCTGTTGACGACGCAGAGACCGCTGAACGAACAGAGGACGAGGAGAGAGACGCCACGGAAGTACGGGCGACATCGGTAGGCGTTGACCCTGACGCAGATGGTTCCGCTCGGGCCGTTGAAGAAGAGGGCGGTGGCGCGGAGGATCCCCCGTCCCAGCCGCGAAGGTCGACACGAACATGGGCCAAGGGAAGCGGCTGGGCGAAGGGCTTGGGCTGGACGAAGAATGTCCGTGGTGTTGGTGGGGCGCGCGACTCTCGCACTTGATGGCGGTAAAGATGCCACCTCCGTTGTAGTTTTTTTTAACACACTTGAGCAGACCGCCTCTGAGAGGGGGTGTTTGGCTCTACTTTTCTTTTGAGCTGTTTGCCCTCCCTTGCGTATTTGCCCTATGTTCTGGATTTTCTCCAATTTTTGGTCTTTTTTCGTTTTTGCGAGTGTTGCGTGCGGACTCACTCTTTTCTGGGTGTATTTTTTGTTCACGTGTACCTTGCTAGGGCATAGCCTCTGGCCACGGAAATTTGTATCTCTCCCGTTAGAATACGTATCGCGGAACAAGAGGTACGGATGTAGGTCGGAATGGTCTATATGTCACCTATACGAACAGCGAAACAGGTTATTTGGGGACAGTAGCGTGTGCGTGCCTTACTGCCTTTTCCGTACTTTTTGTTCAGCCCGGTTAGCTCAAATTCGGCAGGAACGAAGAATGCCTCCTGCATATCCTCGAACGGTGTAGTATCGTCTCTCGCTTTGCCCCACGGTGCGACGACAAGGCAATCTCAACGGGCAGTTGGTTGCGAGCTACGTGCCCGCCGGTGTATGCCTGGCAGCAGTTCCGCGTGGTGTGACCAGAGCACTCCCCAGGCCAACCCTTGGTTTGTAGACTATACACGGCGGAGGGTTACCCGCACCTTCCGGTTAGGTTCCGTTCGACAGGAGAATGCGTGCCAGCAAAGTATTTGGGGACTCGAGGCCCGCAGATGGAAACTTGAGCCCCGCTGGTACGTTTCGCCCTGGTCTATTTAGGGATGTTTTGGTCATGTATGTAGACCAAGTTGCGTTTGGATGGGGTGTAATCTGTGTACTAGTGGGTCTTGCGACCATCTAGACGACCGCTGTCGCTGTTGTTGTGGAATTTTTCCCGGAGACCACTGGGCGGTGACGGAGGGTTTGCTGCGGGTGGGACAGGTATCTTGGCGTTTGACTGACCACATATTGGCTTACGAAGGCAAATGTATTTGGTAGCCACTCGCTCTTGTTAGTGGTGGAACATTTCCCCAACACTCGAAAGGTCATTTTTTGCCTTTCCTTTCTGTGCGTAGATACTTTAGTTGGGACCAACGTTAACCTTGGCCAGGATTCGTTTCCTCCGGCGTGCCGTGTGTAGTCAGACTCGCGTACTCTTGAGGTACAGCCACTATCTCGGGTGCCCACTCCAGTGAGTGTGCACAGAGTTAAATCAACGTGCCCCACCTCTATTGGGCGGCCCATAACAGCGCGCGGGGGGGGGGGGGGGGGGGGGGGGGGGACCAAGATTCCGGGGAAGGCCTTTTTTTTTTAATTTTTTTTTTTTTTTAAGCCCCCTTAAAAATTTTAAGGTTTTGGGGAAAACCCAAGGGGGGGGGTTTTTTTTCCCCCCCCAAAGAAACGGAAAAAGGGGGTTTGGGGGGGGGGGGACCCTAAAAAAGGGGCCCCCCCCCCCTTTTTTTTTTTGGGGGACCCGGGGGGGGGTTTTCCCTTTGTTTTTTTGCCCCCCCCAAAATTTTTTTTTTTTTTTAAAA